TGTGAACTAATAGCCAACAGATTTTGAGCAATTAGAATATGGCCAAAATCCTTTTCAGAGGTAGTAGACAGGAAGTCTGCAAGTCCATAATAAAATGGATATTTAAAATGAGTACTAGCCTAACTAGGAACATGAGAGGGGATAGCATTGCCATATGTAACCTGCATGGTCCCAGAGGTGTGAGAAGGAGAGAGCAAGCTGGGCATTTGGGCCAAGGTTGGTGTTGCAGCATACTGGTGAGCGCAAGGAGACAGGAGAGCTTTATGGCTTCCTTGAATCACTAAGAAATACCTGTCACAATAAATTTTAAATGAAAAGGCATTTCCATGCCCACTATGACTTGCCTCAGCTTGGTTCTTGATGCTCTGTTGAGCAGTTCATTTAGACAGATGCATTGCTAACCAAGTAGATGCATTTCACTGAGGGGAATGGAAGACAAGCTGAAGCTCCCTCTAATGTTACTTGATGCTTCTCACTGGGCTACTGTAATTGGAAGAATCCGTTTGAAATGCCTGTCCACTGACAAGTGAAGGTCTTGGTATAAAGAAAAACATCATCTCCTGCAAGAGGCTCACTCTTTGAAAAACTGTTTGTGCTATTTTTCTTCTGTAATGAAGCAATTTTATAGAAACATTGAGCTGTCTTGTCTCATACACACTTGATTGCTGTTGCGTGAACTTTCAAAACTGTGTTTTAGCAGGATCTTTGATAAGGATTTTTTTTCCTCTCCACTTCCATGTAGCTTTAAGTTATTTAGGATTTTTAGTGGTTAGTGACAGATCTAAAACTTCAAAAATATCCAAGGGATCTATTCATATTATCCCTATTTGAAAGTCTGTGTTACAGAGCCTAATGCTTCCTAAAATAGTATTAGTGGACATCAAAATTCAAATGTTTTACATTAGAAGGGCAGTATCTCAATCTAATTCAGAAATAGATTGATGATAGAAATGAGAATTTTTTATCAATTTCTTTAGGCAGTTCTTGCATTGGCATCCAATTATACTGGTTTCTACAAGAAAAAGATGCTCTTAAAGACATACTTTTGTGCCCTATTTTTACTCTAGAACAAGAATTATTTTAGTGAGTTAAATTTTAAATCCTTGGGGAGACCTTGTTAGGCAGGTTCTATGAGCAGTATAGCTGTTTGTGTTATTTTAGTGAGTTAAATTTTAAATCCTTGGGGAGACCTTGTTCTATGAGCAGTATAGCTGTTTGTTTATGACAGTATCTGTCTAATTGTTATCTTCAGTTAATTGGTTCAGAGGAACTGAACTGGTAAATTCACACAGAAATAATTCATTATCACCACTGCAGTTTTTGTTTTGATCATTTGTGATTAGCTTTCTGTAAACATTGTATCAGAAGTATTAGACTTGGTGGGGGATTTTTGTAACATGTTGTCTTAAAACTTCAACTGTTTCAGATGGAATTTTGTAATCATTTATAAATAGATCAGACCAGGGACTGGTGTGGTCTAGAACCTCCAAGTGGCAGTCAGAGAATATTTTATTCAAGCCTTGGTGTTTTTTTAAACTAATTTACAACTGAGCCTGTGATCTCATGATTAAGTACTTTTATTGCTTAGAAGGTGTAAAAAAGGCTTTGTGTAAAAGTGCTTTTGTGTTGTCATTAAGTGGTGCAGTTCACAAAGATTTTGACCTTTGCAATACTTTTGACAATAAATTTACAGATTAATTATGCATTGTATTAATGGTGTCCCTTTACAGTCTGCAGTTTCTGTTTATGTAAGAGCCCATTTCTGTAGGTATAATTTAAAGGGATAACTAGGGGTTTCTACTAACTTTTCATTAACACTGTCTTTTTATGCAGTTCACCAACTTACCTTTTTTTGCTAGTAATGTATTTGTTAATTAGAGATCATCTTCTTTTCTGCTCTGTATAAATACAGATGATCAGCATGATCCATGTGACTGTAGATGAAAGCATACCGTTAATATAAAGGACTACATGGCACAATATTTGCCACACCTTAATTGATTAAAAATAATCATCTCATATAATCCTATCTAAAATAGCACGTCATTAGTTTACTGAATTAGAGAAGGAACTAAGTCACTTCTTTTTCCTTTTTTTACTTCCTACCTAGGTGAGCTGGTGCTTCTACTGACTTGCCCAAAATACTTTTACTAGATTAAATAAACTGGAATGGAACTAGGTTTCTTGGCTGTACTTAGATTATTAGTATTAGGTATCTGAGGAATTCCTATCTTGTGTCTTGCTCTCCTGTTATCCTGAATCAACTTCCTTGCCGTGCTCTTGCATTCCGGTGTAGGGACATGACAAGAAGCACCCTGGAAGTGCTCCCAGGTATTTCCACTTGGATGTAGTACAGCAATGGAAAGAGGGACAAAACTTCTCCAGGGCCTCAATAAAGTGGAAAAATGGGAGTTAACATGTGCACTCTGCTTTACCTGCCTGCGAAGCATGTGGGTCGAGAGTGTAAGAGCAGCTCCAAAAAAGCAAGTGGCAGCCAGCAGAGCACTCCTCTTTGTTCTCAACTCCTGAGAGGAGGTCAGCAAGAAATACGTTTGCTCTTTGAGGCTTTTCTGTGGTTTCTTTTGCCCCTGATTACAGGGGTGTCTGCAGAGCATTTACTACTTCTGAAAACTTGCCCTAACATAGATGTATTAATTTAGGGTCTTCAGGGCTCCTATGATAATTTGGGAATGAATCAGTATTATCAGTGATCTCTCTGTTACTTTTTTGGTACAGCAAGGCTGGTCAATGACTGAGAGCAAGTTCATGAGTTCTCTCACTTAGTGATAGAAATCCTCAGACTGATCTTTTTAGTTTTGCACAATACATGTCCCAGTTTCCATTTTAGAGTACAAATGCTCTTAGGTGGTTTGCTTTGTACAGCATTTCACTGCAATTATTCAGTTCCAGACAAGCAGTGAGCCCTCTACCTACTGGTGTCATTTGAGCTTACCCTTAATAACCCAGAATTTCAAAGACAAAAATATATTTGTTTATTTAAGGAAAAGATTAGGTTAGGGAAAAAAAAAAAAAAAAAGAAAAGAAAAATAAAAAAAAAAAGAAAATAAAAAAGGGCAGTGAAAAATGAAACAAAAAAGGTCATCTTGAAGTCGTTTCATGCAAAAGTGTTTTCCTAGCTGTCAGTTTGAATCTTTACAGCACATTTCAGCCATAGCAACCTAGGAATCAAATTCACCAGCCCTACTCTGCCTCCAAACATTACTTCTCCCAGTTGACACTTATGTCTTGTTGCTGCAGTGGATTCTAGCTGAAGCTAGAAATAGCAGAGTTAATGTGCTTTGTTGCTCTAAAAGAAACAGAGGAGATGAGATCTTGTATTAGATCATCTGAAATGAGAAACTAGGCTACGTATTTATATAAAAGTATGTCCTTTTTAATAAGGAGGCCTTACTGTATTTCAGCTCTTTGACCTCTACAAGAGATAGCAGTGCTTGTGCAAGCTGAACTGGAGTGTTTGTCTCTGAAATCATGGAAGGCTCTTCCGCATAACTCACTGCTCATGTTTTCCTTTTTGCTGAGGAAAACAACTGTGTGCTAGCTAAAAATTAGAACTTCCCTTTTCGAGCAGAAAAATTTACATTGTGAAACACTTGTTTTTATAACTGATTGAAAATTGCCTATCATAAAAGTTATCCAGTGTGTAATAGTTTCAGTGTATACAGCTTTTCTGACTCACTACACTGACTACACACTACACCTTAACCAGCCATGTGTCAACATTAAGAGCAAAGTACATATATTAAACTCCTTGTTTTCTGGACATTTCTTCCACTAGCAGTTGCTACACAGCCAACCTCTGCCATCTCCATGCAAACTCTTCTGATAAGGCACCACAATTTATTCTAGTGCACAGAAAAACAGGCCCATAAACCTCTCTGGGTTGTTTTTAATCTGGATAAAGCTCGCCTTTCAGCTGAGATGACTGATGCAAATGGTGAGTTCATTTTAGGCTGCCTGGGCCATCATTGCTGCCCAGAAAAATATTTGTGAAACTGCTGTGTGGAGTCCTCTGCTCCCCAAGACATGGGGGTGTGATCACAGCTCTAATGCTTTGCTCCTACAGCAATGGAAGGGTGTTTGTTGCCTCTGCATATTCTGAAGCTTGAAGGTCTCAAAGCTCCTAAGCTTTGCTTTAAGCATGTATGCATTCTTATTGTGTCAACATTACTTAAACTGCCTTGGCCTCTGAAGTGAGATGCTATCTACACAGTAAGCTAGACCCAAGCGTGTCTGGTAGTTCCTTGACTTAGTCTGATTTGAACTTAAAATATTTTGAATTTAAAATTCTTCTCAGGCCTCAAAAGTCATTGAATAGAGAGACACATCATCCTTAAAATTACTACAATAAATCAGACTAAGAAAATAAGCAGAAGAAGAAATGAAAGTGAAAGAGATAGTGTTTCAACCTAAATTGAGTGCTTGCTACAGGGAAAGGGGAGAGCACAGCAGGAGAATAAGCCAAATTCATGTTACAAGTGTGGGTATTAAGGAAAGAGCAACATTCAATAACAGCTATAACAACTATAGACAGGGAAAGGATATTGTGTTTAATATATGCTCCTCCCTTTTCTGAATAATGAGGGCAGGCTACCTCATACATGTGCTAGGAGTGAAGGGGAATGCCTAGAAAAAGATTCAGTTTTGGTAGCATGAAAGAATAACTTGTGCACCCAGCACAGGCTGTCTCTGGTTGGTTATGCAGGAGAAAAAAAAATGTGCTCCTGCCTAGAGCCTTCCTCTCCACTCCCATCTCGGAGGATCCCAGGGCTTCCTTTAGATGTCTCAGGGTCTTCAGACTTTGCTCACTCATTCATTCCCTGTCTAGGGGGTGACTCTGTGCACACAACCTTCTCAATACCTATCACTAACAAACAAATATTTAAAGAAGTTTTATTTAAAACATTCCAGATGAGTGTCAGCCTTAGCCGTGCAAAATTTGTACTGGTGTGAAAGTATATTGAAGGTATTGTTTCTTTGCAGATGGAAGTTTTTTGAGAAGTATTTTCCTTGACTTTCTGCTTCACTTTATAAGGTAGTATTTGGAAAATAAAGCCTTTGTTTTGTGACTTTTTTAACTTAAGAAAAATATTAATAAATAAAAACCTTAAGAGTACTTTATAAGCGTTATCTTCTTTTACAGCTGGAGTATCTGTCTCATAATCTCTGGTTGGCAAGCAGCAGCTGGAGGGAGATAAATTTTCTTCACCAGGAGAGGGCTCTCACAGTCTTCTGTTATTACTGAACTTGGGAGCAGAAAGACCAGAAGGTGAAGGTACAGAAAAAGTCATGCAAGACCTGCTCAAATCAGGGTATGTCCACCAGTATGCTATAGATACTATAAATGTTAATCTTAAATAAATAAGGCAAATTATTCTCAAGTGTTTGTTTTTTTTTTTTTTACAAAAGGTGAAAAATAAGGATGCTGTTGCAGCTTAGCTCTATTGTTTCCTTAGTATGACTGTTGTTAAACAGCACTAAAATATATAGAATTCAACTTTCTGTACAGCACCACCAATATGCAGATGAACATTACTATTGGCTTTGCCAAGGAAATCCCACAGATGTGTGAAGACCCTTCCTCTTGGGGTGCTTAGTGTGGTTTAAACACTGTTATGAAAATAGAAGTTAATGTTTCAGAGAGGAAAAAGGATTTTTTTTTTCATATTGTTTATTACTTTTTTGCCATCCTTCAAATAACATTGTGTGTCATGAAGAATAAATTTATAAAGTGATACAAACATAGAATCAGCCTGGCTGTGTCTCCTCTTACTATACCTCTTATTTGTTAAAAATGAATGTATAAAATCTTTATACGAATGCTATTGCATAAACAGAGTAACAAATGCTGTCTTTATTTCTGTTATAAACAATCAACAGCAAGGTTATTTGCATTTCTAGCAGTAGTTGAACTATGCTGAAATGAACTCTGCTTTTTAGTTCTTGTTTACCATAACAAATTATGGGTTTACTGTAAGCATTATCTCATGAAAATCGTGCATGGAAAGGAGAAATCAGTTTGCTATAGTGCTTGAACTAAGTACTATAACCAAAGAAAATAAACCATTATCAATTTATTTTGTGTTCTTTACATGAAAGCCTTTTCTAGTCTGGATTGTTTGTGGTTTTTCTGGGTTTTTTTTTTTTTTTCATTGTTGGTTTGGGTTTTTTTTGTTTGTTTGGTTTGGGTTTTGTCAGTGTTCCTACTTAAGAACACAGGCTGGAAGTTATATTTCAGCAAAAACAACCACCAAAGGAAAAAAACCTTTACCTTTCAGGTATTCGAACAAGTGCCAATAAGTTGCAGTATTCCCATAGCTTTTATCTGGATATCTTGATCTAATCAACCTCTCATTTTGACAGATGTGCCTCTGTTCTCTTGAATCATTTTCATGGTAGTAATTCATCAGAATCTTTAATCAGGATCACACCTGTTGTGCTATGTAATGGAATGTTATTGGCTGGGGTAGAGTCAATGGATTTGGCTGGGGTAGAGTTAATATTCTTCCCAGTGGCTGGCATGGGGCTGTGTTTTGGATTTGTGCTGAACAGAGTTGATAACACAGAGATGTTCTTGTTATTGCTGAGCAGGGCTTACACAGAGCCAAGGCTGTTTCTGCTTTTTGTACTGCCACACTGGGGAGGAGACTGGGTGTTCTTGGGAGGCTGGGAGGAGACACAGCCAGGACAGGTGACCCCAGCTGACCAAAGGGATATTCCAGAGCAAAGGACATCATGCTTAGTGTATAAAGTGGGGGGAATATTTGGAGTGGTGGTGCTTGTCTTTCCAAATCACCAGCATATGTGATGGGGCCCTGCTCTCCTGGAGATGGCTGAACACCTGCCTGCCATGGGAAGCAGTGAATCCATTCCTTGATTTGCTTTGCTTGTGTGTGTGGCTTTTGTTTTCCCTATTAAAAGGTCTTCATCTCTGCCCCTGAGTTTTCTACCTTTTACCCTTCTGATTTTCTCCCTAGTTCCACTGGTGTGGGAGTGATCAGCAGCTATGTGGTACTTGGCTGCTGACTGGGGTTAAACCTCTACATGGAACAATAAAAATTGAGTGAATACCTTAAAAGCAAAGGGTAGTTCGGTGCTGGAGCCGTGTTACATGGTGAAGTTGCTTCAGTCAAAGCACATATCAGGTATGTATGTATGATATATAAGACTCCAAGGACTTGTAATAAATTTATCTTAAAATAAGCAAAACTGCATATCCAAATATCTGCTTTTTTTTAGTATTATTTTCCCATGCAATTAGTAAGACTAGGATCCTGGATGTGTTGAAGTAATTATTTAGTCCTGCATAGACAGATTTCTTCATTCCACTTCATCTCTGTGAAGTGATTCCCTGTTCCCTCTCTAGCAGTCTCACACAGGTGTCTTCCACAACTTTCTGGAAGGTCTCCAATTTTAGACTATTTCAGATCAAGAGGAAAAACAAGTACCACAGAGTTTTCAGTCTCATTCACTGCTTTTTTTATCCAGCTCTTCTGTGAAAGGAACAATATTTGAGGGCCCCTGCTGACTGCAGGTGTGATGATGTGCGAGGGGGAGATTGGTGTTACATGCTCCTGAGAGCTCCTGGGAAATAAGTAATTTTTCTGACATAAAGGGCCTTGCAGCAGCTTTCCTGAGGAACAGAATCCCACAAAACCAGTAAGATACAAGCTGTGCCCTGAATAAGCTTCAGTCCCTGAATGGTCTTAAGGAGCAATCTCAAGTAGAGCATATTGCAATTTAGTTCTGCAGAAGGAATGAGGTTCTGAATTTCACTCGTGATGTGCAGTGTGGCTCAGATGAGGCTATGCTATCTGAAATGTGTTCTCATACTCCAGGATATTAATTGAGAGAATGTATCATCGAGGCTTCAGACAATTACCTTTATGAGTTGTGCCTTGGAACTGATGGAGTCTTAAGAAATACGTAATTGTTTTGCCTGGTTTTGGTCCCTGTAGTTATATAAAAATAAGTTTAATTTTCCTGCAGTAAACAACTTGCACTTTTCCCAGTTGTGCTAACATCACAAAAAAGAAAAGAAAAAAAACAAAACCACCAAACAAAAACCAACACAAAACCAGCAGAAAGTAAAAGTTTAGCTTATATTCTGGCCTCTTTTGCAACTTCTTAATCCTTTGGCCAAGAGGTCAAAATCCTTACGAATGTTAAGTGAACCCCAATTTGGTGGAAACATCATACATCCAAAGAAATTACTAGGAGTTAAAATAGAATATGATTACCACCTCCTTCAACATAATAAAATCTGGATGAAAATCAACTGAAAATCTGGTAGAAAGAGGCACTAAATTTACTTGTATAGGGATGGTTTGATTTATCTCCTAGTTTATCTATTTTTCTCTCAAAAAAAAAAAAAGATTTATAGTTAAACTTATAATTAACCAGTCTTGTGGTCTGCCATAAAATGGGTTTTGCATCTTTGTGGTTCCGACTGAGACTGATGAGATGAACACTGCTTAAGTATCATAAAGTTACTCCTCTGGAGAAATTTTGTACCAGAAGTGTCTTTAAAATAATTTTGTTCACAGGGACAGTAATAAATGTTTCCTGCTCGAAAAATGTCCAATTAATCTCCAAGTGATACAGATATGATCCTTCTCCTACTAAGACAAAGGAAGTATTTCATGAACTGGATGTAAGAGCAGGGCCAACCTACTTTTGACTCAAATGTCAAATCACTGTTCAAATAACTTCCCAGAGGATTACTTTTAAGCCTTATTATTAAAAGGATCATCTTAATGTGACTACAAGGGCAAAATGAAGCATTCATACTTGTTCAAATGAACCAAATTTGGACTGTAGCACTATTTTGGTTTATGGTATTTCCTAAGATTAGCATGTAATGAAGTTATTAAATAACTTTACAAATGTTTACAATATTTTCTCTTCAAAAATAAACAAGATTAATAAAAGTCTGACTTGTATAGTTCTATTAGATTCATAACAGTGGTGCCAGTTGTGATCTTAATTCATTGCTCAGCTCTTAAAAACACAATGTGACCACATCTTCCTGCCTGCAGTTATAGTCTTTCTGAGGAAATCAGGATTTAAGACTTTTTACCAAGGACAAGATGTATCAGGCTTTTTTTTTGGTCTTTTAACTGAGATGAAGTTTAATAAGGGGGCCAGGAAATCATGGTAACCTGGTAGAGCACATATTTCTAGTATCCCTGGGCTCGGGAGATTTAAAAATAGATGCTGTGGTAAGATTCACTGGCCCAAGTGTATGCTCTACTATGATGACACAGATTGTCTTAATGGCACAGCATGATGCAGTCTGAGTGATCTCAGCAAACCTATCTTTATCAAATGGGTGGGAAGAAAATGCTTTTGTGTTAAAGGAAAATTTTGAGAGGGGTAATTTTGAAGGCATTTAAACCCATACTCACTTATTAGCTGTTACTTCCTGAGACTCAAAAATTTACAATAGGCTTCTGGGTCACCTGTGGGATTAGTAATGTCCAGTGGTACTGTCACACACTCACTGCTCATGGCAGGTGCTTGAGAAAGGTCTGGCTTTGATGCATTGCTTTATCACTGGCAGAGTGTGGATCTGCTTTTAGTTCTCTTTCTCTCTTTTGTTTCTTTTCCTGGAAAAGTTACTTCAACTGAATATGAACATTAACAACAGCTCTACCTACTCTCAGTGTAAGGGCAAACTTCAAGCAATATACCTTTAAAAAGGTGTATATGTTTTTGGATCAAAACAAAGCAACTGCAGGAGTCTTCATCACATATTGCATGTAAAAGGCTCTAGAAGAAAAAGAATACAGGAAGTTTGTATTTAACTGTATACGTAAAAAAAACCCCATGAAATAAAAGAACAAGAACCCTGACCTCAGAGATCACATGTGGTCAAAAACAGTTCAAAAATTTACTTAATCATCTTTAAAATAATGAAGTTCATGATGTTATACCATTATTCCAGTCATCTGGTGGAAGAAAGGAAGTGACGTGTCTAGGACAAGAGTCCTGCCACTGCCCTAAGACAGTTCCAGATTGTACTAATGTATTTTCTGGAAAAGACTTATAAATAGTATAGGCATAATTTAGCTTTCAACAAAACAAAAGGTTAAATTCCTGAACCTAACAGTATTTATGAAAGTCATCTTTCTGGAGACTATGATGTTTAATACTGTTTGTCTTTTATGCTGCAGAGAGATATTGGGACTACTGTGAAAATCTATTGATATCTTTTTTTTTTTTTTTTTCAAAAGTGCAGTAAAATCTGACAGACCCCTATGGATAACAGAACGGTTTTTTAATTTGTTATTACTTTTGCACAACAGAACTGGATCCTATCTCAGCATGATTGGAAGTGAACACTTTTCTTCCTGACTATGCTCCTCTTCTTGGTTCTTACACATCTGCAAATCAATGGATTGTTTTTTCCCCTTTTCCCAGGTATTCATATTTCAGAGAAGGAAACATTTGGTCATGAGACGCTCCAGGAACAGGGCAACCAGCTGCCAGTAATGTGGTTTTCCTGTCCCACTGACCTGCCTGGGACAGAGTTTCCCCGTGAGGATTCTGCACTGCCTGCTGAGGCTGCAGCTGCTCTGGGCCCATGGCAGCTGTGCCCAGCTCTCCAAGACTCTGTTGCCATGGCACTGTGGGGAACCACAGGGGCTCCAAACCCCTTCACCACAACCTCACTAAATACACTCCAGTGTCAGCCCGTGCAGACCTCCTCTCAGCCATGGTCACTGCCCTGGCTGCCTCAGGAATGACCTGGACATGCCAGGGCATCTGCTTCTTCTCCACTGAAAGAGAAGGGGCAAAGGTGAATTTTAATCTTTGACATTTGCAAAAAGTCAACTTTGTAAATTGTATTTTGTAGAACTAGGAAAACCAATTATTGTTATGTGAGTCTTCCTAAGAATTTTAACATTCATCATACACAAAGACCATCTGTCTGAAAGCCTTTTTTTTCCTTTTTTTAAATTAATAGAGAGGAATTACTCTACCATTACAATCCATTCTTCTAACTCCAATGGATACATGGCTCTGCAGCTGCTGTTTCCTGATTGCATTTAGTGGATGCTATCAAAACAAAACTCCTATCTTCCCATTTATTAGATTTTTAGTTACAGAAGGGGTAGACTTTAGCTAACCAAAGTACTTGGTTATATGTGCTACTTGAAAATCCATTTTAATGTGCTTTGTTTTCTAGGAAGTGTGCATTATCTATATCTGTACCTGCACATATACCTGTCTACATATAAGAATGATAGAACGTCACTGGATATTGTGGTGAGATAACATTTTTCCCACACATATTGGAAACAACACCACGCTGCCTGTCCCTGTTGGCTATGAAGCTACAGAAACATTTGCTGCAGCTCAGACCAGATGAGGCCTAGTAAAGAAGGAGGGGGAAATAATCTGGGGCTGGTAAGTATATATATATATATATATATATATACACTTTGCATTTGTGCTGTGAAATATGACTTAGGGAAGATACCTGTGATTTAAATTTGGAAGCAAAAGTACTAGTCTGGTTAAAAAGGAGAAAAGGAGAGAAAACATCTGTGTGTATGTGTGTGTGTATGTGTATGTGTGTGTGTATTTGTGTGTTTGCACACGTGTTCACACACATAGAATGACAGAATGGGTATGGGTCAGGTTAGAAGGGACCACAGTGTGTCACATCTGATCCAACCTCCCTGCTCAAGCAGGGTCTTCCCAGAGCACATGGCACAGGATTGCATCTGGACAGAGAGTATTTCCAGGGAGGGAGACACCATACCCTCTCTGGACAATCTGTTCCAGCGTATGGTCACCCACACAGTAAAGAAGTTCTTCTTCATGTTCAGGTAGAACTTTCTGTGCATCAGTTACTGCCTGTTGCCTCTTGTCCTATTGTTCTGCACCACCAAGCAGAGCCTGGAAACATCCCTGTGGCACCCTCCTTTTAGACACTGACAGACATTGATGAGTTCCCATCTCAGTTGTCTCTTTTTGAGTCTGAACGGGCCCGGCTCCCTCAGCCTGTCCTTGTAAGAGAGATGCTCTAGTCTGTTCATCATTTTTCTTGTGCTCTACTGGATCCATTCCACAAGCTCCATCTCTCCTTTGTCCTGAGGAGCCCAGAATTGGACACAACACTCCAGATGTGGCCACACCAGAGCTGAGCAGAGGGGCAGGATCACCTCCCTTGCCTGGCTGAATGTTCCTCCTAATGCACCCCAGGACACCATAGGTCTCTTGGCCACAAGGGCACTGCTGGCTCGTGGAGAGCTTGGTGTCCACCAGAACCCTCAGACCCTTCTCTGCAGAGCTGCTTTCAGCAGGTCACCCCCACCCTGTCCTGGTGCAGGGACAGGTTATTCTTCCCCAGGGGCAGGATCCTGCATTTGTCTTTGTTGAATTTAAAAGTAATCAACTCTGCCCCTCCCCCTGCATCTGTCAAGGCACACATGCACATGTTTATTTGAAAGCTGTTATACCTTTCCAAAGCAAGTGGGTCAGTTATAATGAAGTGCAGTCAGCTTTTGTGTTTTGGTAAAGGAAGAGAAAAAATTCCTGATGTCTTTCTATTTTCTTTTTCTTTCCACTATCATTTGCTTAGATAATGAAGGCCTACTCTGATCAGAAATGTGTTGTATGTTCAGGGGTGTCATCACTGTGAGAATAAAGACATAACTATAGATAAATTCAGGCTGAATGAAAATGACATAAAATGACAAGCCAGAGTGAAAATTGTCTGAGGAAGTCAGAGATAGGTTGTATTGGGTAAATACAGTAAGATGGAAACAATCAAGGCAAGAACAAGGACCCTCAAACCCGTTCCAGGGAATAAGGCAACCTAGGAATAAGCAGCAAAGCATCTTGCAAAGAGATTGAAAACTATGAGTCAAAGAACTAAGGAAAAATATTTTCCTAATAACATCCAGAGAGCTTTCATTATATTAGAAAACAGTCAAAGTTGGCACTGAAATAATCTCAACAATAATTATTTAGTAAATGATATGTATTTTATTGTAGTTTTATGACAGTTAATACTGATATGTCTAAGTAGTCTGTCTCACATTTATTACTCATTATATATTCTGTATAATTCCAAAGTACAGGTTGCCAACAATTTGGGTAATGAAGATGGTATTCTGGTTTTGTACACTGGGCATGATTTCCTACATGTAACAGATAAAAGAATATGATAACATATGCATATATTTCTGCCCAATGCAAGAAATACATGAAGCCATAGAACTATCCATCCACAAAAAAATGCTACTAATCACAACCAAGTCACACTAACTAAACTAAACTAAACTAATTTAGCTTTTACAGCTCTACACACCACTAGGCTTGAAAGCCATACTTGTTTGTTTTACTTTATCTTGGGGCACATAAAATCATGGTATTTGGCAGCACGGAATAAGGGACATTAAATCAGCTTTTATGCTGTTGTTAAGAAACCCATAGAGAATGGGATTCAAGCAGCAGGACATCATACCCAACAAATGGCATATGCAATATACTAATTTAAAGTGCCTGTTGGAAATGAGAGTGGCATTAAAATCTGTGACAATGTGGAAAAGGTGAAGAGGCATCCAGCTGAAGCCAAAAACTAGTATTAGCACTGTCAGTCTGCAAAAAACCCTCCTCGATCTTGTCTTAATTCTGATGATGGACTGGGATACTGTAATCATGTTCTGGATCTCTGTATTTTCTTCTGGTTTCATTTCAAAACAGATAGGGATCCCAGGGATGAATTTACTGGAGGAAAAGAGCTGGCTTTTTTCTGTGTCAGAGGTTTCTGGGACATCTCTGGAATGAGTATCCTGATGATGCCTTGAAATAGCTGGCATCACACTTGAAGTCTTTCTACTGTATCTTCTGTGGTGCCTTCTGCCAAAGGCACAGTTCCACCGGGAATATCTGGAGGGTTGAACCTGCGTGCCAGTGCTCTTAGAGGAATGAAGAGTTAGGTTTATCATCTCCTTTTCTTCAAACTTGTTTTCCTTGTTTGACAGCCTAGCACCAATGCTCCTGCAGACGCTGGTGTGACTGGCGGTCAGGCACGCCAGCGGCAGGATGTACTGCATGAACAGCAAGGCTATCGTGAAGGCGATCCTGTAGGAATCAGAAGGCCATGACTCGATGCACAGCAGCCTGTTCTCCAGTCCCTCTAAATTCAGAGTTTTGCTGAGGTCCACGGTTTTATGGAAAACGGGCAGAGGGGAGCAAATTGTGAAGCCAAAGGCCCAAATGATCACTATTAAGAAATAGCCTTGTTTTGCTGTGAGATTGTTGGAGAGGGGATACTTTATCATACGGTACCTGACTGCAGCAATAGATATTAGCATCAAAGTTGAAACTAGGACTGAGGCACACTGGAGGAAGGGCATTACATGGCACATGACAGTGCCAAACATCCATTGGTCAAGCAGGACAGATGTCAGCGTGAAAGGTGAACAAAACAGCACAACCAAGATGTCAGAAAAGGCCAAGTTTCCAATAAGAATGTTTATTACTGTCTTCTGCTTGCACTTTAGTAGGGCCATTAATATAAGTAGATTTCCCACAAAGCCAGCCAGACTTATAAGTGTGTACAGCCCAATAAGAAAGTACTGCATGTCATCAACACTACTCTTATAGTCTTCCCAGGCAGAAAAATTCTTTGTTGCAGAAGAGGTGTTCTTGGTATGTGTGCTGTTGTTACGGTCTTTGAATTCTAAATCCATTTTACAGTCCTGCTTAGAACGAGAAAGGCATTAATTAGCATCTGAAGAAATTATGATATTGCTGTTAATCAGAATGTAAAAGTACATAAATTTACCTTTTACCTCAATGCAAATAAATTACTATTGATGTTAGTCTACTGTGAGGCAGATCCTGCATAACGTCAGATCAACATGAATTAGCTAAGTAGGTTTTATCATTTGGTGTTCAGCACTCCTAGGCCTCCTGCCTAGATGTTCACGTGGGAGAATGGCAATTTACAGGTCTGCATTATGATGCTGCCTTTTAACTGTGTTTTGCTGCAGAACATAGTGTCAGGCTTTCCATGAGGGAACAGTTAACTACAAAAGCAATACACCTCGAGTCGGTGAGATTACTCATGTGAATAACAGCCCATTGATATGAGTAAGGAAATTACAGTCACCATCTGGGCAGATGGCTAATCATTATATCATTACAAATTATAAAGAAGGCACCTGAAAATGCATATGCTAACAACTGCAGTAGTATTTCTTACCTTGCTAGTAGAGAACTAACACAAAATAGGTGAGAGCTTTCAAAAAGGATCAGGAAATCCACTGTCAGTAATCCAAGATGGAATTCCTGATGTGGTGTGTGTAGAAAACATCTTCTACTAAGTGCTGAATATAGTTTAACTGTGTTCAAGCAGAAAGGAAAACTAAAAAACACCTAAAGTAATTGCATGTAATATAGAGAGGACAGTGTTAACTGGAAGCAAACTACACACAGCCATTTGAAAATTCAGTGAACTACTTATTCAGCACAGAATTATCTCATGTTACACCTAGATCAGCACAAAGTTATTCTGCCTACTGAATCCTCATATATTAGTCTTCATTTTAGAACAAACAGAAAGACATGAGAATTCCTTTCAAACCTCCATTTACCTTAAACACTTGCATGTACTAGAGCTT